ATACTTTTAAAACTTCAGTGACATACCTTTTATTAACTCTTCAGTGAAACTGATGGGTGTAACAGTTAGTAGAATATGGAATTAGTGCAGTAGAGTACTTTTTTTGAGTTTCTTGTTATCTTTACAGATTTTAAAATACAGAGATTATTATTGTAACTGTTGATCTGTATGCCAGTTCCAATGAATTCAACCATACTGTCATGAAGACACTCCAATTTCAAAAAGAAGGAAAGTAGTTCTGTATCTGAAGCACAAAGCATTTAAGCTTTGTACCATATAGTCTAAGTTATATAGTGGGTAGTTATTGTAATCTATAATTGAAATACAGTGCTAGGAAGGGCCCTACCATCTGACAAGGAAAATGAGTGTGTTTTTTTGATTTCTTTTAAGTGACCACTAATAAGGGAAACAGTTACCAAGCTATGTGTGGGGTATGCATATAGTTAAAAGAGTATACTCTGCAATTTTTTTCTTCTATAAAATTTGCAACTGTAATTAGTAAATTACCTAAACTCCCTCCTCCCATGCACATTGGTCTTACAAATAGGAACCAAGCTCTTTGTCTCTGAATTCAGGATAGAATTCATGCTGCTATTTCCCTTCCCATGCTCTTTCTTCCTGAAGTTAAATTAGGTTTTCTGATAGCTGGGGGGTCTCAGGTCAGGTTAAAGGTAAAACCTCTTCTTGAATCCTCACTGCAAAAAGTGGAGCCAAAGTTCTTGGCAGTAAGGATAGCCTTTTCTAGCAGGAAGAGAGCTGTAATTTTTGCCAGAAGCCAACCATTGAAATAATCATTCTGGTAGATCGTTGCCTCGGGCCTTGTTTCTCTTCAGTGCTTTTCTAAAAAGGGGTATTAATGTCTGGGTGCTTAAAGTTTTCCAGATCTAAGGTAGATGGAGCCTGGAGAAGGGAATAGAGACAGCATCAGTGCATAGGTAGATCTGCTGATGACATAACTGAAGATTGAAATCGTGCCAGTTAATGTTTCTGTTGTTTTCTGTTTTAAAGCTCTTTGGAAGTTGTGATCATGAGACTCTGCTCTCTTCTCTTGAGATGCTCTTTCAAAAGATAGTGTTAAACAAACACCTTTCTTTCATGGAGACCTTGCTTGTTTTCACGCTGGCCAATGAGCAGATGTGGGTTTGGGTGAGATTACTGCACTCCAGTTATATTGTGATGGTTATATTCTTATTAAGTAGCTCTTCAGTTCTGCTACTTGATTTTAGTGCATGACCAAAAGTCTGTCAGTAAATGACACAGACTAGAGAAACCTAATTATCAACTTAGATACTGATAACAGTAGTTGTACATTTTGGGAAGTGTGGTAGATTTTGCCATTTACACTTTTAGGCTCATGGGAAGCTTATCTTAATGTAGGTGGCTGTTTTTTTGTGATAAAGTTCAGTTGAATGATTTTTGGGAGACCTTACCGCCGTCTACAACTACCTGAAAGGAGGTTGGAGCGAGGTGAGGGTTGGTCTCTTCTCCCTGGTAACTAGCAATAGGACAAGAGGAAACAGTCTCAAGTTGTGCCAGGGGAGGTTCAGGTTGGATATTAGGAAGAACTTTTTCACTGTAAGAGTCGTTAGGCATTGGAACGGGCTCCCCAGGGAGGTGGTGGAGTCGCCATCCCTGGAGGCGGTCAAAAAACGTTTAGATGTGGTGCTTCGAGACATGGTTTAGTGGGCACGGTGGTGTTGGGTAGAAGGTTGGACTTGATGATCTCTGAGGTCGCTTCAACCATAATGATTCTGTGATTCTATGAAAATGTGATTGGATGGATGTGGGGGAATAGGTCTGTCAAAGAATCCTTCCAAATTTGTTCCTCATCTAAAATGTACCAGTTCTATCAGTGTTTGCTGAATAGCTGGGATAATATTTTAGTGCTGGAACTTAAAGGTTAGAATGTAAGATTTATACTGACAGTGAAAGTATACATTCCATGTTAGTACCTCTCTTGGAATATAGCTTGATGTGTTCGATGGTTTAAGACTGAGCAGCCGGGATTGTATTAATTGGCATCTTATCATAGTTTTCAAATTTAGATTCTCTTTAAATTCCATATATCATGCTATATGTTCTCACCAGTGGTTGATTTCATCTGATTTAGCATGAAGCATGATTCTAGTTGTACATATACAGATTTGAATCTATGGGATCACTGTAACAAAAAAAAAATCAGGCTTGCATGCAGATTAATATTTGGCAGTATCCTACTATCTTCTCCCTGTCTTCCCCTCAGACCCATTAACAACTTTGCCAGCAGAGTAGCAGCTTTTTTGCATCTTAAAGCAATTTGCCAGGATTTTCTGAACAATATGACTACCTTGTGCTGTTCTAATAGATCACCTTCTCATGGAATCTTATTCCATCTTTTTTTGAGAATGTAAAAAACTAATTATCAGATGAAACTAGGGAAAACTCGTCTCAAATAAAAGACTTTTTTGATATTGTAGTGAACTGAAGTTAAGCTTTTAGAAGACAGTGTTGTCATAAATCTTGGCAGTTATGCAGATGACTGCTTTTGATCACATACCAAAAGAAATACTGAAAGCTCCTAGTTGCGGCGTGATAATGTGCATTAAACTTTGGCTTTAGTCAGGCCATTTTGAAGTCTAGTGGACTTTGTAATAAGTGATCTAAATAATAGAACAGAAACTTCAGTTTTCATGGTGATTTGGTCTGTAGTCAGGATTGAGACCATCAGAGATATTTGTATGTGTTTTAGTGGTGCTATGGCAAACTATCTTTCTGTAATGCAAGTAAATGTGGGGTTTTTTTGTGAAGATGTTCATCCCTGCTATTTAACACTAGCAAAGACTGCAGTAATAGGTTTTCATCATCATAAAAATCCATCATTTCAGTTAGTATTTCCTTTTCTTTGTGGATACTGCTAACCCATAAAACCAAAGTAATTGTATCTAAAAACAAAGTAATTGTATCTAATAGATATTTTGTCCTTTTTTGCCCTTCTTCCTATGATCAAAAATCTTTTGGGTAGACTAGAACAATGTTCAATGACCTGATTTAACTGTTTTAAAAACTTATGCTGTTGATAATACAGTACTCTAGATAAAAACTTGCAGTAAACTAATCTGTGAATGCTGTCTTCAGTGGTGCTTTAGTGTAGTATCTTGCATGAGTATGGGGTTTTTTTACTGAACTTCCAGAAACACAGAATTAAACAGCAAAACAAACAGCTCTCCATCCACTCTGCCCCTTAGTGTCTTTAGCGCAGGGAATATGCATGTATAATAAATGAGACAGCTTGTACTTGCCCTTGTGAGCAAAAACTTGTTCAGACAAGTTCCCTTCTCTGCCCTGAGTAGACCTGGCATGAATTTATGTAACTCTGAAACAAGTTCTTTAAAGAACTTTTGGGGGAAAGGTAGGTGATAAAAATGTAAGAGTCCTGATTTTTGCAATTCCATCTGTGTGGACATGTCTCATCTATACAGATCCCTTGGTAATCCTATTCTGTGGCTACAGGAATCTGCTCACGTATGTCATGTTGAAGGGTTGGAACAGTAAGAGAAACAAAGATGAGATTTTGCAATAAGTAGTCCATGTCAGAAGACTTGTAGAAAGAGCTGTTGCTTGTTACTATAGTCATGTTTAATTTTTCTTCAAATCATGGCTTTAACTGTTGGCTGTTTCTGTAGTGTGACCAGTTCTTCACTTGTTTTTTTGCTTTCGGGTATATTCATACTGCCTAATCACATGCTCAGATGAGACATGCATGATATTTGTAGGCATCCAGGTTCTTATCTGTGCTTACTGTAATCAATAACAAATTTCACTTGTGTAATTATAGCTAAACTACGATATATACCTGCCTGGGCAAAAAAGAGTATCTGTTTTTCTATTTAAACAGCCTGAAGATTTTTAGCTAGTACAGAGCATAATGAATAATATAGCTTGAATTGTCTTGGCATTTTTTAACCTGTTTAAACTATTGGGAAGTGATATTGATTACTGCAGTAGCTTCTGCTGTTTCTTGAAAATTTCACTTTTTCACTTCTTACTAAAATATCAATAAAATCAGTACACAAACATACAAATACCTGATATCTAAAGCTTGTTAGGAGGAAAAAACTTCCTTTAGTGCATTAAATACTCCAAAGAAATCTAAAAATTAAAACTGTTAATCTCTTTCTGTGTATCTTTATTCCTAACTTGGACTTTAGGTTTTTAAACTCAATTGTGTTATATAAAATACTTCAAAAGAATCTTATAAACAGAAAATACAGCTGACTGTAACAAGGATTTCTTATGAACTGTAGGGTGACCTTTTTTCTTTTCCACTTAATTTCTGGGTCTGAGCAATGGTTGCTCCATGTTGGATATGATGAGCTGGACTGGGTGGAGGACTTCCAAAACCTAGGTTCAGTTACTGGAACAATAATTTTCCATTGAGTTAACAGAGCTGTTGACACACCCTCAGTGGAAACACGACTTAAGACTTTTGCTTATATAAGGCCAAAGATGTAGTGTTCAGAATAAAAATGGGTAGAAAGTAGGCACTGATACCCAGCAGAATCACCGTTTGATGTGTATGCAAAAATATTGAGTATTTATAGGTAGTCTTAATGTTAATTGTCAGAATGCATCTGTATGGGGTTTGGGTTTATAGCATGTAATGCTTTTCAAGCTTTTTCTGTCACTTGTCAGGAATCTTACGCCGCTGCTTATGAGCGGTGCCAACACTTTTGTAATACGTATCAAATAAAATCACTTCTTTCAAGTTTTTATGGAATTAATTTTCCTGAAGTAAAACATTTTTAGTAGTACCTTACTCCTTAAAATAGCTTTTCACTTAATAGATCTCAATTAGGGTTTTGAAGTTACATGAAGTAGTCATTCCATATTTATTCAACTGGTGTCATAAGTAATTCTTAGTTTCTAGGCAGTAACAAACTAATGTTGTTCTGTGCCTTTTAATTTTTAGAACCTGTCAGTCATGAGTATTCATAATTGTGTGTGTTTTTCTTTCTTGCACAACCTAAGGACGATATATTTTTTCAAGTTCTTCAAGTATTCTTGCACAACGAGGGAAAAGAAGAAACATTCCAGTGAATGAGGAGTTTTTTGCTTCTATAGTGTTTTCCTTGAGAAGTGGGTCTTTGAATGAGGATGACAATGGAAGAGATGAAGAATGAAGCAGAGACCACTTCTATGGTTTCCATGCCTCTCTATGCTGTTATGTACCCTGTCTTTAATGAGGTAAGCTACAGTTTGCTTTAGAATGTAATAATCCCCTTTACATTGGGAAATATGATTATAGTAACAGGTTGCTCGTCTTGATTGGGAAAGCTTTGTGTCTAACACCATCTTCTTTCTATGTTCTGTTTTACCCTTCTTTCCGTGAATACAATTCCATGCTCATTAAAGATTGCTAGTTGTCTTGGCCTTGATCTTTTTTCTTACCTTTAACAAAGGATTTTCACAAAAATGCTAGATCTGGCTTTCCATGGAAGGAAGTAACATACAGTTGAACATGTACCTGTGAACAGCTTGATACATTTTAATTTTACTGCAAATGTTTATAATTTAATAGGATATTTGATTTTCTGTGAGCATCAGAGATTGTCAAGATGTTCTCAAAAGCCTCTGTCAGACTTCTGCTGTATGCTGGATAAATGCAAAATACGTCCATAGTGACATGCTTGATTTTTATGTTTTTATTTTGGGGGGAAGTCTTTCCTTTGGAATTAAACTTTATAGTATCTCTCCCTCAAATGAGACCAGTAATTTGCATACTTCTGTCAGTTCCCTTTTTCATTATCCTATATAAGGCAAGGCATGTGTACTTGACTTGTTTTGTTCTGATAACATTAGAATTGCTAATAATTCTAAACTTTTATTGCAGCTAGAAAGAGTAAATCTGTCTGCAGCTCAGACACTGAGAGCAGCTTTTATTAAGGTGAGAAGTAACTTGTATTGAAGAATGATTGTTTAAAAGGTGAACCATATATGATGAAGCTAAAAAGTCAGCTGTCTTTTTTCCTTGTGTCTTTGCGTTTGAAGACTACCTCCTTGATCCAGTAGTCTAAAAATAAAGTGGACAATTTCATGGACTGTAAGTTTGAGATGTCTGCAAATGTTATGAGTGGAAATCTGAAAGATACAAGCATACTGAGCGATTTTAAACAAACGGAATCTTGTCTTGTCCATGTAATACAAAAGCTTAAATGAGGAATCAGTCAGTGAAGGTAATAAGATAATAAACTTAGTCTAAATATGACAAGATTATGTAGAATAGATGCTCATGAGAAATAGTCATGTAGCAGACTTTGAAAATGGTTTACAAAATGAATGGCAATGGGATTTTTTGTGGATGAGGATAAGTCTAATGTTTGTATTTGCATTTAGCAGTAAATGGAAAAAAAGATTCTTCTAATTTTTCTGTTCTATTACTAAAGAATGAAAATACAGATATTCCTTTATACTGCTTTATTGAAGCGGTCATCTTTTGAAATTCTTTAATCAAAAATAATTGTAGACATGACAGATCTTAATGTGAGCTGTGCAACTAAGTAATACTTCCCTGTTTCTACACTTAAATCTAAGTGTACCCAGACAGTCTTAACTAGAGCTTAACTAGTACAAGTTAAATGTTTTACGAATGGTGGTGAGGAGCTAAGCTGAACACAAATAATGGAAAAACTGAGATATTGGGAGAAATGATAGTGCCATCAAAAAAAAAATGCACCCTCATTCTTATTCAACACAGCATGATTTTTTGATAGCAGCACAGGTAGTGTGAATACCTCCAATATTAGTCTAGCTTGGCTTTACTTAGATATGTCATCAATCAAGTTGGGTTTTTTTCTGAAAAAGCAATTCTAAGATGATGTTTGAGCATATGTGATTCAAGAGGCACATTTATAAAGTGCCACTTGGAAGATCGGGGAGTAGCATCTGTGTTTGAGTGAATTAAATCCCAATGGATACAATATCTTTGTCTCAAAGCTTAGTGTTTATGAAAATATAACAGAATATAGAATTTAATGAAAAACTTTCTTACTCAAATTGCAATGACTGGAAAGGCTTGTTGCAAAACTTGTTTATACAAAATCACTGATGTAATTTAAGAAAAAGGGATGTTGTGGTGGAGGAATGGCTTTCAATGTAATCTGCTAGTCTAAAGCCATTAGACTTTTAAAGTTTCTAGCAAACTCCTGCAGTATATGAAGCAAGTTACATGAAAATCTGCCTTTGTGCTTGCAATATTAAGGTCTTGCTATATTTAAGAATAAAAATTTTCTTTGCCGTACAGGCTGAAAAAGAAAATCCAGGTCTTACACAGGACATCATTATGAAAATTCTGGAGAAAAAAAGTGTGGATGTGAACTTCACAGAGTCTCTTCTGCGTATGGCGGCTGATGATGTAGAAGGTAATAGCTTATGTCTTATGTTGAATAAGTGTGTTTTTAATTACACGGTTAACTAGGAACATGCATTTCTCTGCCTATTTTCAGAAGAGGTTATTTGTTTCTTAGCAGGTTTTTTCAGCATGGTAGAAGAATATTTGTATTTTCTGAATACCTCTTTCAGAGAAGTGAAATCTCTAAAAACCATACTTGACTAATAAAGGAAAGAAAGAAAATGAACGTTTAGAACTATGTTTATGTGGGTGCATAGTTCACGTTTTGCACTGCTAACAACCAGAAAAAAGCATATATGGAGTATAGTAGTCACCTTCCTTTTCTCTGCTTCAAATTAAAAGCAGTAGTTGTACTGTCAGGGAAGGGGAGTATACAGTAGGCTTTAAGTTATTTTAATACTGCATTAGATTAGTGTAGTGTCTTCAGCGTCTCACTTCAAGATGGGCTCTTTTTCTAACTTGTAATAATAAAGATTATTGTTGCGCTGTTTCAATTGATGTGGAGTATATTCACTGCAGTTTTCTGGGCTGTTCAGTGCTATTTTTGTGCTGTTCACCTTCAAAGGTAACATGGCAATACTGATGCATTTTGTGAAGTAGTGTTTTTAGCCGTCACTAGAGACTTGAGGAAAAACTAATGGTATTTTTGAATGTTCTTCTTGTTAGAGTATATGATTGAAAGACCAGAACCAGAATTCCAAGATCTTAATGAAAAGGCACGAGCACTTAAACAGATTCTTAGTAAGATTCCTGATGAGATCAATGACAGAGTGAGGTTTCTTCAGACAATCAAGTAAGTACTGTATTATGTATTTTTCTGCACATTGAGGAGTCGAACTTTTTATTTAGGTCTGAATGTTAAAATGCTGTAGGAGATGCTACCAACACTGTTCCTATTGGAAAAGAGCCTGGTCCCCACTTATAGATGAGTGGATAGAGTTGAGGATTTTTAACGAGAGCCCCATGTTACCAGGCTGAACTTAACTTGCTGATTCCTAGTTTGAATTCCTGTGTCGGTGGTCTAGCTGTTTTGACTACTAGGAGACTGAATTCCAGCATTTAATATCCTTAAGCTATCCTAATTACGACTATTTTTTATTGCCAAATAGGGACATCGCAAGTGCAATAAAGGAACTTCTTGACACAGTAAATAATGTCTTCAAAAAATACCAATACCAGAACCGGCGGGTAGGTGCAATAACTGTTTTTATACAATATTTTTAGCAGTATAAGAGGAAGCACATCCTTTTGATCAGAGGATGAGTAGGAGGGCTAAACTGGTCAATGACATAATACTTTAACAACAGGATTGTTGAATGGTAGGTCTCATCAGTTTTGTGGAGGAAGGCGATTTCTTTGCATATCTTCAAAGAAAAAGTCAATTTCTATATCTAACATAATGTTAGCCAATTTTCTTATCAGTTTGACCTCGAGATTCTCACTGTACCCAACAATATGTGAACTAAGACTCTGCTCCTGGTGTTTTTGTTTTCTTAGGCACTTGAACACCAAAAGAAAGAGTTTGTAAAATACTCCAAAAGTTTCAGTGATACTCTGAAAACCTATTTTAAAGATGGAAAGTAAGTATGATTTTGTACTAACATTCTGCATAACAAAAGGCCCTGTTGACTGACAGGGGAAAATAGGAGAAGCTTTGGGGCATAAGCTACCTTCTTCAGGACTTGCCTAACTTTTTTTTTCTTCACCTGTGTCCTCAAACCACAATGGCTGCTTTAAAATACTTTTATTCCTTTTGTAATGGCTTTGAGGAAAGGCAAGCTTGTTAAATGTACTACCATACAACACCCATGTGCGGTATCAGCTTTGAACTTGAATATGTGAAGTTGAATTTCATGGCCCTGTGATTTTTCTCAGCATATATACAAGGACAAAAAATTTAGGAATGCTTTATTGAAAATAATTACATATTTGAAATATCATTTGCAAACACTAAACATCTGTGCAGTGTTTTCTTTGATTTACATTTTTATTGTCCTTCCTTTATAGCTCCTTATAGCGCTTCACAGTATTTGAAACTACTCAGCTGATTGGTCTTTTTGTATGTGAATATTTTAGCCTTCAAACTGAGGCTTTTCTGAGGCCTTCACCTTGGGTTTTGAAGTCACTGTTTCTGTATATTTCACTGTAGTGACTGTTTCAGATGACGAGTGTGTCCCCATCAGGTTTTGACCCTGCAAAAGTGTTCTGTGTGCTGCTGTCCTAAAGATGAGAACTAACTTCCATGTCTGGTCTTTTTGAGCTTGGCAAAGACTAAGAGCACCCAGGGCGATGGTGCATTACTAAATGAGAGAGAAGTCTTGAGACCAGCTGTGAATACTACCTTGCTCTTATAGAAGCATTTCTTTTTTTTATCCTTTAATTGAAATTGGGGCTAAATTTGGTTATGGTACCAAAATGAGAAATTTAGACCTTGGTAGCTTTATGATTACTGAACAGATCTATAGATAAGTTTTCACATGAACTAGGTCTAAACAGTCTCAATTGATTAGAAAACCATTTGACTGAAAAAATGGGGAAAGCGTTGGATGTGTTGTGCATGCACCCCAACCATACTGAAAGAGACCAGCTTTGTTTAGCCCTGTGTGAAGTGAATGCTGTGCTGTATATTGTGGGCATAAGCTTCAAGTGTGTTAGGTATTATCAGTATTGCAGGAAATTCCAGGTGAGGCTTGTATTTCGTATGCTTATGGAATCAGAAGTAATTTAAATCTGTCTGAACTGCATGTTGAGTAAGATACCCTCCTCCCACCAGAAGGTAACAGCACTAAACAAAATAGTCATGCTTACAGATGTCATTACTGAGCTGAAAAACTCAGTGACCCCGCACCTCTTTCTTAACAAAAAGATAACCAAAATAAGTATGTTGCTTCCATATGCGTGCATGCTTGGTCTTTCTTGGAAAGAGCTGGAAATGCTGAAATTACTAGGGGATGAAGTGTTCAGCTTTGAAAACAAATGTTTTAATGATCATCTGCTCTATTCTTTTTCTTAGTTCGCTAAAACCCCAGAATTAAGTGATTGAAATCTCAATGATGATTGAGAGCTAAAGTCTTTAAGTTCCTGCTAATAAACATAGTCTTTCTAGGATTAGCTATGCAAATAAGTCTTACCTGTTTGCCAGCAGTAAGCTTCAGGTAGATCACGATATGATAAACCATCAATATACTTCCAGCTTGCAGAGCCTAGATGCCAGTATATTTAGTTGCCTAAACTTAATGCTGTATCTATTGAATGGCATGTTTCTAAAAATGTCTGAAGCAACATCATTTTCTTTTAACAGGGCAATAAATGTGTTCATAAGTGCCAACCGACTAATTCATCAAACCAACTTGATACTCCAGACCTTCAAAACTGTGGCCTGAAAACTGTATATGTGGAGAGTTGTACTTTTCAATGGTGGATAGGGTACCTTTATATGTAAATTTTAAAGTTTTGACTGTATAAATTATCAGCCCCTCTTGAGGGGCCTAATGCAGGATTTTGAATGGGATTATTGCCATCTTACACCATATTTTTGTAAAACATTGTAGCTTAATCATAATCTCACAATGAAGATTTTGCATCACTTTTTGCTATTATCATTCTTTTCAGAATTATAAGCCAAAAGAATTTACGCCTTAATGTGTCATTATGTAACATTCCTTAAGAATTGTAAATATTTGGTGTTCTGTTTCTGACATTTTAACTTGAAAGCGGAAAACTGCAAGATTATGTATTTAACAATATTGGTGGCAAATATTCAATAAATAGTTTACATCTGTTAGACTGTCTTTTTGTATGTGAACGAAAATGCATAACTCCTCTTTCTAGAGCTGCAGAACATTCATTAAATGGAAATATTAAAATTATGTGGGTGCTTAAAGCTACTGGCAGTTCAAGTTGATATAAAGTGAGGGTTTTTCCTTAAAACTGAGATTTTTGGCTGTGATCTGATACTAGACCAGCATACCAGAATAATTCTATTAAAATGCCTTTGACAAAATAATAAAGAACCCCAGAAGTGAGATGTGCTTTTGTTTTTGATAGAAACGAAATCTCACTTCTTAATCTTCTGTTGGTGGTAAGTTAACAGGTTTCTACTCCTAGACTATTCCAAGGTTTTGAGCAGAGGATTACTTTAAATATATGCAGCTGAATATGCAGCAAAGGGTGAATTTAAAATATTAAGATAACTGGGTTTTATATTGGTACCTTTTTGGGAGGGAGGAGGAGAGAAGATAGAACTCTTCTAGCTAGCACTAGTGATGTCTATACTATGCATGCCATAAGGCAACTGTTTTTTTCAGGGATTGAAATCATGTGAGACCTCGATTTGACAAAACTTTCCTGTGTAGATGGTTAAGAACTGCGGATGGACAGATATAAATTTTGCTATTGTGATTTCATGGTAGCATTTCACAAGCTCTAATGAGTATCTTGCATGCCCCTCTGAAGTGCACCTTGAGTTTATTTTGAAATAGAATCTTTATAGAATACAGCTCTGAAAGTTTTCAAAATATTTATGTGGCCATAACAACTACTAACTTTAGGGAAGAATGTGAAGTAGTTTATAAAGCTGCATAAGCTGTTGCAAGAGGATCACTTCAGCCTGAAAGAGCACAGTTGCTACAGAACTGTTCCTTGTTCAGGTATAAATGATGAAGGAAAGGTACTTGCAGGCTTTTCTTGCATGCTGACCTGGTGCTGTATTGCTCATTTGGGGCAAGTGCCTTATCCAGAGTACAACAGCTGGGTCTTTGAATTTGGTTATCTGCTTAAATGATCGCAAAGGGGAAAAGGCTATCTGCAGCCCTCTAAACTAGCACTGGATGTTCTGCTGTATATCTGTGCGTGGAAATGTTTCCTTCATGAAAGCACTGACTGTAGTGAAATAGAACAATGTGAAGGAGAGTATTATGTAAAAATGAGTTCTTGGGAATGTATGTCGTGAATTTCTTGGTTATGTGAAGCTATAAACAGGATGTGGTCCTTAAACCTTGCTGTTCGGCCTGTTGTCTGTTTTGATGGTGTTTTGTGTTTACTAGCAAATTGAGCTTAGTAACATGACAGGGGTGCATATACAATTTATAGTTAAAACTGTTTGTTGTTTATTAAAGCTTGGCATGCTATAAACTCACTTCTTGGGAAGTGGTAGAAGAGAAACAATATTAAAAGCTACTAAGGAGGCAATCTTGACCAAGTTACAAGTAATATTTAATTTGCATCTTTGAATTTTGTAGGTAAAAAGATTGAGTAGTCTTCCTTGCAGATGATGTTATCTTAAATTTTAGCACTGAAGGACTTAATGAAAACTAATTAGTCAGAAGAAAAGGAAAGGAAAAGCACCCAGAGTTTCTGATGCTTCATTTGTCTTGAAAAGAGTGCTTGGTACTGGGGAGACTGCACCAGTGGCTGTAAGGAGAGACATGAAAACTGGGGTGACACTTTGTGACTTGGACTTAATTCCAATAAAATTCTGAGGTTCTTCTGTTTTCTTAGATTGAGAGGGACAGTAGCTAGTGTTGGCAATCATTGGTTGAATGATACCATGTTTATGTCTGCGGATGTAGTAAAAAACGAAAAAGTGTATGACTTGGGTGCCAAACGAGATGCTGTGTTATGTCCTGCTAATTGATTCCTTGAAGTTAAAATCAAAGAGGGTATCAAGAAATGAACTGTTCTTATTCATCAGTTCTTCCCAAAACCTTTATTGGGTAAAAGGTACCAAGTATAGGGCTAAGCTTCAGGTAGTCTGGCCAATATGTTTTGTTTTATTTGCAACTTTGTTGTGATCTCTTTTGTTACCTTTAAAAGTAATGGAAAACTATTCATTGTAATCAAGGTCTGGTAATGGGAAAACTTGAAAACTGATGTGTTGAGGTCACACTATTGTGTGCCGTGAATCCATATCTAGTGGTCTTACAAGCTTTATTTTCCGCAGAGTATGAGCTGGGGCATATGTCTGTCAACTTTTATTGTGGTTTTGCACTTTATTATCAAGTTACCTGAGTAGCTAAAGATGAGTTTCTCTTAAGGATTTCTAATACAGCAGTTAGTGTTGCGAAATGGTATTAGAAAATTTCTGCTGTGAATGTGGGTTATAATTGATATAATAATGTTAACATACAGAAAACCAATCTAATAAACAAAATAAAACTTTGTATATTTGTTAACGAAGCAAAGAAATGTCCTAATCACTTGTTTTGATCTTTCTCAGCATATAAAGAAATGAAGAGAAGCTTAGATTGACTTATTTCTGGTTAGAAGCTTCTTGTTTTAATACTGACAAACTTTTGTTTAAAAGTCTGTAAGATGTACGAGGTGCCCAGCTTAATATAAACTGTATTTTGAGTTGATGTAAAGTGGTAAGTATGAAATTTCACAGTGCTTTGGTGTCAGAACTTCCATTTATCCAGACACTGAGATAGTATCAGTCTTGATAAAGCATTATCTTTTCACGTGATCTTACCTAGATTACCACTGAAGTCTTCCTTTTTAATGATCTTTGACTGTGTGTCAGGGAAAGACGTCTTGTTTGTTCTACAGGTGTTATCTGATCTCTATTTTACAAAGAGACCGTGTATGCTTTGCTGAATTGGGTGGGGAACGAAAAGAAGGTTACCTAGACAAGCTTGCCACAAATCTAATTTTTAGATTATTCCGTTATGAAAGGGAGATAAAAATAAATGTAACTTAATGTGTGCAATACTAATAACTGGATTTGGCAGGGCAGTGATTATCCATTACCTTTGGAGTAGACACTGACTGTTCTGCTTGAGAATATTGCTTTGCCATGCTCAGCCTGGCTCATCTTCCCGCAGGACTACCGGTGCCTTCTGGAAAAGGTACTGCAGGCAGTCTCTGCTTGTGAGGTATGGGAATGCTTCTGGCTTTGCATCATGATTCAGTGCAGTTGTCCACTTTGTCATTTTTCACTCCATTCTTGATTTTCCTCATACTCTTCTGGGCAGATGCTGCTTTCAAAAGAGACTGGTAGGAAACGTGCTTCAGGAAGAGAACTGCTTCCTACCAGCAAACTCAGTGCTGAGAATCAGGACTGAAGAGACGTCCCTGGGTCATCCAGCTTGGCTTCCTGTTGCAGAAGTTAAAAAGTACCGTATAATGTTGGTCATAAATCTGTCCAGTTCTGTTTTAAAGCCAGCTTCTTTGTCCTCATTCATCTTGTTAGATGTCATTTTAAGACAGTCTGCAAGAAAGAAAAATTTAAAATATTGAAGTTTAATATGCTTCATAAATTTATGATGAAGAATTCACTAAAGTTGTCCACAGCCAATTGTTCTTTTTCCCTCTTTTTCACTTAGTATTGGGATTAATTGCATACCATCTTGGACTTAATTGCCTAAAGATACACAATCCCAAGTTTTTGGTCCTCTCTAAAAACAGCAGAGGCATTAGGCAATGCTAAATTTTCTCCTTCAAGGCTGAGACAAAACAATTTGTCCTCGTGCTTGTAATGCAAGCTTGGATTTTGCAACAAAAGTCACTGGCGATGGTGCCTCCAAGGCAGAAGAGGAGGGTTTGGCTTGTCTAGAGATTTCTGTGGAGGTGCTGTCCGTTAGCTTCTCTGTCCCTATCTCCCCTCACAGCTTGGTTATGATTTTGTAGACATAGCACTTGATTTCTGAGACTGCAGAATGCTTCTGACTGGGTAGAACGTGCAGGAATTGTTTGCTGGATGACATAAGCATCTTCTCCACGGCTTCTTATTTTGCACCTTGTCCTCCTTCCCCCGGACACAGCTGCTGTATCAGCTCAGGAAGCAGGAGAGGGATGCTGCCGGGTCTGTCGGCAGCACGTTGGTGTGCCAAGGACTTGGGTAGTGTGGGGGAGAAAAGCTCTTCACTAGGCATTTACACCAGGATTGAGTCCTAGGTGATCGTGTGTGATTCTTGTCTCTTATTTAGCACATATTGCATGTCATCTGCATAATTGTTTTTGCAAGATCTATGCGAGTATTTTTTTAATGCCTGTTGTAAGGATGAGGAGTGCAGCTCAGCAGCATTTGAGGTGCAAGACTTGTTTGTGCTTGCGTTGCACTCATCATAAAAAGCTTGGCCTGTGATAATGATACCTGGACGCTATCAGAGTATACGATTATGTGATAAAGGGTTTAATCTCGTCCCCTTTTCTGCCATCGTGCAGTGCTGCTTATCACAAGTCAAACAGTGTTAAGATCAGTATGGCTTTACCTGGCAGCATATGCCGTAAGAATTTGCAATTTAGGAGTCTATCGTTCCAGAAAGTGTGCATTGTTGGGCAAAGATTAGTTTGGTCAGAAGATTTCAGTTAAAAGTTTGTCTTTGGTTAGACTTCGCTTTTGCTATTCCTTTGGAATTTGTTTGTTGCTACTAAAGATTCAAAGGTGCTTCCTTTTTTAAGCAGTAACCGAAGGTGGCTGGGGAGGGAAGTTGAGTTGTTTTTGTTAGGGACTGTGATACTTGTGAGCACCAGGAGGAAGGGAAACAAAGACTAAGAGTTGTGAATGTTAAACTCTTCTCACCCTAGAGACAGAAGTGTTCTACCTACCAAGTGTATTCAGAAAAGAATTGTGGTTTAGTGCTGTAATTCCGTTATTGGTGACAAGGTAAGCAAAACAGATTTTCAATTGCTGATTTCTAATGCATGCTCAGATATGCTGTATAAATGTTTGAATTTGCATTTGGTATCACAGTCAAGGTGATACCTGATGGATATAATGATTTTAGAGAATATTTTGTAGTATTTCACTAAGCGAAAAAGTTTAAAACCCTGTATCTAAA